ACCCGGAGGCGCCCCCCCCCCCAACCCTATGGACCGCTTGCGCTAGATCCAGGTCCAGGGGGGCGGGTGACCACACCAACTGTAAAATCACCGGGACTACTAGAGTGGATGGGTAATCGGCCCAGTCAGCAAGCATCTGCAGCCCTGGTGCCTGCGCTGCGGCGGCTGCCACCAAACGCAGTGGGCTCAGCCCCCTCGGCAAGTAAGGTGTGGTGAGATCCATGCAAGGACAGATGAGCGATCAGCTGAGATGTAGCTGTGGAACCTGTATCACGTCAAGGTGAGGCGAGTTGACCTCCTTGCGCTTGACAGCGCACCATCATGCCACCCCTGAAATCCCATACTGTACTAACCACAAACAGCGCTGGCAAGGCAGCACATCTCCCACCCATCACAGCAGCTTCGAACACAGCAGCTCGTGCCAAGCGGGCGCCATGCACACGAGCAAGCAAGAAAGCACCGCGGCCAGACAGAATCGTGTCGCATGCGCTCATGGCAGCAGTAAATCCCCCCACCCTCTCTTCCAAACACCCCATGTGCAGCACTAAGTGCTCCAAGCATTCCCGCGCCGCCCGAGCAAGGCATCAGCGAGCAATTTCCCCGCCACCCTGAACTCGATGCAGCCAAAAGCCAGCCCCTTCTGCTGGACCCTAGGACATCGGGACACTGGATCGTACCTGGCTCCAGCGCCTTGTCCCATTCTGGTTTATTAGGTGGGGGCGACAGGTGTGCCTTGGCCTGGGCGATTTTCTCTGCATGGTAATAAATCGGAGGGCCAGCCTGCAACCGCGACTGATGATGCAGACGGCGTGGAGGCAGCGCTTCGATTGACTGATGCAGCACGTGGGTTGGCATGCGCTTGCGGCAGGGTGTGCAGCAGTGTTCAGCTCAGCTTGAGATCCGCAACCTCTATTGGGCTGTTGCGGCAGGCCGGTGGTGCACGATGTGTGGCCCGGGCATTGCCGCGATTAAAGCGCGCTCAAGCAGCACAGCGGTGCACATTGTTGTGTGCGTTGGCTTTAGAAACCGCCAGCATGTGCGGTCTGCAACTGTAATCGGGCGGCCAAGCGCCCAGCTGTATCGCATGCCACAAATCAGCAAGGTTTCCGCGGGCAATACGTGGCTCTGCAAGCAGAACGTAGGGCCTGTCCGTTGCACTTGCAACAACAAATTCAGTGGCCAGGAAGGAGGCACACTTGGCTTTTGCTGTCGAAACGCGGTGCCAAGATCTGGGTCGGATGGATCTCCGCAGTGCAAGGCCATCCAGCAAACGAGCACGTGTCAGTTGGCGTGTGAGCTCATGTATCCCCTGCCATTGAGGGGCAAATCTGATCCGTGGGAAACTTCAACAGACTGAGCACGGATTGGTTGATGTCTTCCGTTCAGGGGGTCCGAGCCTGCTGGCGTGAAGTGCGCCCAGCACACTAACCACACAATCAACGGCCAAGTTGCCCGTTGGCGCGAGTGGGCGCTCCTGCGAGAGACCTCTTTAGTAGTGCGTTGCAGAGCCATATTACAGGTATTGAGCTGTACAGAATGGCATCACACTGATGCCGACCTAATCCATGGTCTTGCATCTTGGTGACGTGAGCGCGACGTGCAGCGTGAACACATCTCTGGTGGATCCGACACGTCGGTTGGGGGCGTCCCTACGCCCTGCAAGAAGCTCCGTAGACCAAGAAGATGTTCAGATTCTGGATCGGGCCACTTCTTTTCATTTTAATCATCCGTGGTATGCCCTCCCCGTGATGGCGTCAACGCTGCAGTGCGCATCGCACCGGGAAGAACCCGAGATGAGTAAGGGGCACCAACTCCCGAGATGCTATCGGTTCCCTTCTCTGTTGCTCACGCAGACTTTTGTTTGGTTTTATCACAAGCTTATTGCATGCGATCCTTCTCGGCTTCGCCGCACTGCGCTGAGTTCTCGCTCAACTTCTGCGGGCCCGCGAGCGCTAGGCTCTCACATGTTGGCATCCCGAGCCTGATTCCGAAACTCAAGGACGATTTTCCTCAACATCGCAGCCACTCGCAACCGCGGGTCCGTCAGCCCTGGAACGCCAGGACGTGAGAGCTTTGCAGCTCCATCGCGGAGTGATATCCCGTCGAAAACGCGCAGATGGGGAACTGCTCATCACAACCGGACATGCTCGGGGACCTGGAGGCGTTTGGACACGCTGCCTCAGTTGCTGCTGCAGCTCGCGGCAAGGGGGTCGATGCACTCCTGAACGCCAGCCCCCTTTCGCCGTTCAGCCGTGCAGAGAGCTCTGAGATGGAGCTTAGCATTTTGGAAAAGGTGCGTGCGTACAGGCTGCCAGTGTGCGGTTGGCGAAGGCGTGTCAACGTGGCCACGCCGCACGGCCCAGTGAGCCAGATGTTCCCATGCGCAGTGGCTGCCAGATGTTCCCATACGCATGCCTGCGCGCCCGCCCATGCTACCCCTTCCGCCGCCCAATTTTCCAGGTCAACGGCCTCCAGCAGCAGCTAGCCCTGGTCAACGCCAGCCCCCTGCTCGGCCTACCAGAGGCGGCTGAGCTTCTCGCCGACAACCTAGATGTCGACTTGGTCGCGTGAGTGCCCATCACACACGAAATGTCAACCTTGCAGTTCGCAGCGGCTCAGGGCATGCTTTGAATTGTGGCGACGGGTTGGGCGGGCTCAGGCAGAGAACTTTGAGTTTGGCGGCTGACGCCGAGGCTGTCTGGCACTTGCGCATGCCAGGGTGCGGCCGGCGCCCTCACATATTTGGCTCAGAGTAGCCCTCCAGCAAAGCACAACCCCACCGGCACCCGGCGAAACCAACACATTGCTCACTCTGCTGCCGCTCTGCGCCGCCTTCCCGGACCCGCAGGATTTACGTGACCCCCAAGGACGACCCCTCAGCCTCCGTCCTGCTGGCTGCCCACGGCCGCGGCGCATGCACCCTGCAGCGCTGCCCAGTCGTGCGCGCGCCGCAGGCCGCCGGCGAGTGCCGCCGCATCGGCGCGGCGTGCAGCCTACACGTGCAGGACGCTGCTCGGCCAGGGGTGAGCGCTGCTGCCGCGGTGCCCTTGCGGCTCGATCTGCTGCCCTGCCTAGGCCTCCCGCCGCTTGCAGCTCCCCAGCTCTTTTGCTACCCCTCACCACCAGACTCCTTTCCCTTGCCCACCCGACACCGCAGGCAGCTGTGGAGCCCGCTGAGCTGTGCCAGGGCGCACACGCACTCCGCAGCTTTGTCCAGGTGCCCATCGGCACCGCGGGCTCGCCGCTCGGCGCGCTGCTGCTGGCCAAGTCGACGCCCTCTGCGTTCGAGGGCCCGTGGTGGCAGGTCGGGCTGCAGCTGGCGGCCGCGTCGCTGCTGCCGCATGTGCGGCAGGGGCAGGTGGAGCGCATGGCGCGGCTGCTGCAGCGGATGGACTCCATGGAGGACCCTTTCCAGCTCATCGCGGTGCTCCTCAAGGTGCGCCTTTCCGCCGTGCCCTGTCCAAGTGCTGCTGCCTTCCCATGCGCGCACCCAAGCCCGCACGGTTGCATGCTTTGTTATAATTGCAATCATACATGGTCCCGCATCTCTTGCTGCCAACGGCCCACTGCTTTCCCTCACGCCACACCCACCATCCCCGCTCCTGAAAACCACAGAGCGCTAGCGACTTCCTGCTCAAGGCCTGCACCCTCCGCGCCACCGCCCGCCTGGCCCTGCTGCCGCCCCGCGCCGGCGCTGAGGCCCTCCTCCTCGAGTCCCCCGCCCCGGACGCCTCCGCGTCGTCCGAGTGCGCCGAGCGCTCGACCGTCGAGGGCGCCGCAGACGAGGAGGTGGTCGTGAGCCTGATGAAGGTCTCCAACACGCTGCTCGGCGCCGCTGTCACGCAGAAGCAGGCGCGCTTCGTGGCCGACGTGGGCGCCTACATGCAGACGAGCGCGCGGCCCGCGCGCGACATCTTCACGCGCGCGAGCCGGCTGGTGTCCTCGGTGGTGGTCGTGCCGCTGGTTGTGGGCGACGAGGCGCCGCTGGGCGGCCTCTACTTCGCCCTCGACACCCCCTGCGAGTTTGTCAACATCTCAGACACACTGCTGGTGCGCCCCTGTGTGCTGCGGCTTTTGACCCCCGACACAACTTCAACCACAGCCATACATATGCGCACATGTGCACACACTCTCACACACACTTACTCATGCTCAAGCGCGCAGTGCTCGCCCCTGCATGTGTTCACGCTGTCTGCGTGCCCTTCTTGACCAACCAAGGCTTTGAACCCTGACCGTACCGCCCCCAAAACCCCCAAACCAACCCTGTAGGGCTTCATCCACGGCGTGACCCCACTGCTGTACAAGAAGCTGGCCAGCCGCGTCGACGACATGACGTCGCTCGTCCAGCCCGCCCACCGCAGCAGCGGCGCGACCTCGGGCATCAGCACCTCCAGCAGCACCGCCCAGGGCGAGGACGCAGTTAACCTCGGGCTCGGCCTCGGCCTGGGCGGCGAGGGCTCGGGGGCGCTGTCGTGCTCATCCGGCTGCGACGGCGCGCAGCAGGGCGCAGCCGGGGGCTTGTCCAGCGCCATGCCGTCGGGGCGGCTGCCCACCATCAGCAGCAGCCAGCGGCTCAACACAGAGGCCATGCTTGCGGTGAGCCTGCTGGTTTGGCTGACTTAGGCTTACCGCTCCCTTGCGCCCTGCCTTGCAACCCTCGCGGCTGTCTGGCTTCCTGCGCGGGCAGCTGGTCTTGGTGTGCCGTTCAGCTTGCGGGCCAAACCCACCCGCTCATCTCCCTCCTCGCCTCTACTGCCGCCCGCAGCTGCTGCAGCAGGACCTCCGCCAAAAGTCAATCCGCTGCCGCCACGGCAGCGCCGCCAGCGGCCGCGCCGCGGAGGTCTCTGTGGGCGAGTGCATCGGCCAGGGCGGCTGCGGCGCCGTGTTCCGCGGCACGTGGCAGCGCGTGCCGGTGGCTGTCAAGGTGACGCCCTCGCGCCACAACGAGGCCCAGGCGATGCAGGACGCGGTGGAGATGGCGGTGCTGTCCAGTGTGCAGCACCCCAACATCGTCACGGTCTACTCCTGCCTCACAGACATGGTCGAGACCGCAGGTGAGGGCGGCTCTCTGAGACCGTGCTGCCTGCGGCCGCATGCCGTACACTGCATGGACCTGCCAGCTGACTTGTCCAGCGCTCTGTGTCCGCTTGCGTGCATATTTCGCTTGGCGCTGCCGCTCATATATACACCCTCATGCACATCCACTGCATTCCTTGCAGACGGCAACGGCAGCCGCAGCGTCGGCGCAAGCGGCGACCTGAGGACTCACTACCGGCGCTTGACCGCTGATGAGGACTCCGAGGGGGAGACGGCCACCTTCAGCCTCATCGTCATGGAGGTGCGTCGATTGGCTTGGTGCCCCAACAATTGGCTTGGGATGTGCACAAGGGCGCTTCATAGGCCGCAGCATGGCCCCAACATGCTGGCCACTGCGCCGCGACCCGTCTGAAGCCCAGTGTTGTGGCCCGCCATCTGCCGCTCAACTCATCTGCCCCCGCGCACCCTGTCTCGCAATCACCCTGTCCGGCCCTTGCAGCCCTGCGACAAGGGAACCCTGCGCAGCGCCATCAAGCAGGGCATGCTGCACCAGGCGCTGCCCAACGGTGCTGTCGGCGTGCGGCTCGCGCCCGCGGTCGAGCTGCTGCTGGACGTGGCTTACGCGCTGCAGTACCTCCACTCGATGCAGCTGGTGCATGGCGATGTCAAGGTGCGTACGCGTGCGCCTGAGAGGCAGCGGCCTGCTGTGCCCACCTACGCGCCTGCTGCACGCAAGCCCTTCTGCATGCGCGCTTACTTTTCCATGTACGGCCTGCGGCTGCTGTTGGCGGTGCAGCTGGGCTGGGTGTTCGGCCTTGAACTTGCAGCCCCTGATTGCAACACCCACATCACGCATCACGCCTGTTACAGATCGAGAACGTTCTGCTGAAGACGGACCGCGCTCGCCCCATGGGCGTCACCCCCAAGCTTTCGGACTTTGGGCTGACGCGCATTCTCAACGACACGCAGCAGGCGGCCGTCGGCGGCGCCGCGGGGCGGCCGGCGGCTCATGTCGCACCAGGTGCGAGTCACGACCAGCCCGTGTGCTTGCATGCAAGCGCCCATGCATGTTTGTGCATGCGCATGCATAAATGCAGGCATGATTGTATGATTGCATTATGCATGCATGCATGCACGCATGCAAAAGGCTTGCCTACATGCACGCATGCGCGACGCTTGCCTACATGCACGCATGCGGCTCGCTCTGACGCATCCCTCAACACACTCAAATCGTGCAGAGATGTTCGAGGCCGGCGGCTCCATCACCACCGCGATCGACGCCTACGCGTTTGGCATCCTCATGTGGGAGGTATACACCAGCAAGGTCGCGTTTGGCAGCGTCGCGCCGGAGGACCTGGCGCGCCGCGTGCGCGACGAGGGCCTGCGCCCGCGCTTCCCCAGCTCGTGCCCGGCAGCGTTCTCGCGGCTCGCGCAGGCGTGCTGGTCGGCGGACGCGTCGGCGCGGCCGCAGTTTGCGCAGATCGCGGCGGGGCTCGAGCAAATCGCAGAGCAGCTGGCGGCCGGCGGCGTTTAAACGCGCAGGCTACCTACCAAGGGCCGTGGGGCCGTTTGTCTACCACCCCCGAGAAACTTGATGCAGGAGCTGGTGATTATCAAACTGCTGGGCTCAACGCGCCACTGGCATTCCGGTGTATTTGTCATGCCCTCCATCAAATGCTCCTTGGCCGGCCTCATGCTTATCCGTCCCTCTGTCTCTCCAGCATTGCGAGTGGAATCCTCTCTGTTGGCCATTCACAGCGCGGCGCTGGCCACAACCTGCCCATTCAAGGGCAGCGCCACAATGCATGCATGACGCGTGCGCCAGGGGATCCCACCCATGCCGAGCTTTACTTTTTTCGGCAGACCAGCATGCCGCGTCGCAGCAGCATTCTCTGCCCCATTCACATCTGCGGCGTGGCCGCGCGCTTTCGGCCGCACACCCTCCATGTGGCGTGGCTGAGCGCGAATACTGCAACTGCCGGCCTTCCCGCAATCTTTGACGGGTCCGTTGGCCTTGCAGCCCATTGGTGCGGCCTATGCTGCCACGCCAAAACGCGCGAGCAGCCCCAACCGAGCCGCCCCTCTGTTCAGGCAAGGCACAGCTTCACGGCCCGCGTCTCGCCCCCTATTTTGGACGGCACTGCGCCCAACCACGCACGTCCTGGGGTGCCTATCGTTGCGAGGCGGGTCCGTCTTTTTGGACGGGCGCTACCACCGCCCCTTGCGATGCAGCCGCTTGCCACGCGGCAGCGCTCTTGGCCCTCCCGGCCAGGCTTCCCTACAGCACTGATCTGCACCAGCCGCGCCGGCGGCCCGCCCTGCGTCGCCCCGCTCGCGGCCGCGCGGCGCGTGTCACCGCTCACTCTGGTCACCGCACAAATCGGGGACACATCAATGGGCCAAAAGCGGCCCGGGCCACGGCCCAACTTGCAGCGCTCCCTCCAAACGGTTGCTTATCGCTGCTCCTGCCGCACCACGCCGCTGGTGCCACAGGCCTGGCAAGCCCGTGCGCCTGGCGGGCCCCTCAAAAGGTCCGCGGGGTGCAGGAATTGACGCACTTGCTGTGCCGCTCCCTGAATTACAGGCCACCCCGCCTTGATGCAGCGTGGGCGCTGGCGTCTTAAGGTGCCAGCAAACCGAGGAGGATATGGTTGGATCACTTTCAACCACTGCATAAGCACTGGCGTCACGCATTCGCGCCAAGGACTGCGCCGTACGCTCCACCATCTGCCTATTCTGGGCGCGGTGTGATGACGCACAACGCAGGGCCAACGGCGCAGAACCTTCGACACAACAGGGGCCGCACTTGTCTTGGCCTTGGACGTGTGTGCGTCTCTAATCCGGCCCTTCGGCCTGCGTTGCTGGCTGCAGAATATCACACGATCGTCATGAGCGAGCGCCGAGCGGGCTTGCGGCTCACGTGTGCGCTCGCAGGGGCATCAGCACGTGCCCCTTTCGTCGTGCTTGATGGTTGGTAGGCCACAATCGTCTGCTTGTACGCAGGGCGTGACCGTCTCCAACGTACGTGCCAACGCTGGGACGCCTGACAGGCCCCCAGTGTTGCCTTTCAGCTCTTGTGTTGCCTCCTGGTCGGCTTGCCGCGCGGATTTGCAGCAACCAGCGCTGGGTGTCTTTGCCCTGCGCGCTTTTATGTGCGAAAGGGTCTCCCCTTGCTCATGCTCTCTGGCGATATGGTGGGTTCGGCATGCGCACAATTCCCTATTCGTCTGTGCCGCACATCTGTCCCAGATTGCTTTGAGACACTGCCCTCCCCTCCCCTTCAGTGCCTTGCCTTGCGGCTGTGCTGCTTTATACCGTTTGCATCCTCTTTGCCTCACGCATTCCCCCTAATATATTCGTTTTGGCTATGGCTAGGTAGAAAACTCAGGGGTCCAAAAACCGCCCCACACGCACGCTGCGCTTTGTCGGGAACAAACAAATGATGTGAATCCACTCAACCAACCTGTAATCTACACTGTTACGTTGAGTACTGGCTGATTGAGCACTCTGGGTGGAAAGTATACTGAGGAGCAGTGTTTGGGGACCCGCAGGTGCGGGTGTGCTGCACAGCATGCAAAAGGACATATCCCCAGGGTCGTGGAGAGGGAGGGTGCCGAGTGCGGGTCGAGGGCTCGCTGTGACCTGAAGCCCCTGGGCTGCACAGGGTTTTGACATATGGTATACATGAACGTGTGCGGCTGGGCTAGGATGGGCTGATTTGCTGCAATCAGCCAGGGTGCCTTGCTGTCATGGAGCGGGGGTCGCAGCACAACCATGTGTTGCGCGGCAACACTGCCACAGTGTCAGTTCAGTATCCAGAGGGGCAGCAAGTATCTCAACATGACAAAAGGGTGAAGTCAAGGTTCCTTATCACGGCACCGCACGGTACCATATGCTGTGGTTGCCTGTTTCGCCAGTGCGCGCGTCAGCAGTCGTGGGCTTCATCACTAGCGCGGAGCGCGCTCACAAAACCACCACCTGACGCGTCTAGACGAGGCGTTCACCTGGACTCCGCAGTATATGTATTGAACAGACAAATGAATGCACCCAAATGGATGCGTTCAGCAGCCTGAGAAGACCCCTTCGTTCATTCATCGCCACAATCTCAGGAATGCCGCATAGCAGCGACCAGGCCGGCAAATAATCCCAATCATCAAAATCTGAGCCTCATCAAAACCTCCACGCTTGCCGAGAGGGGGCGGTCACCCGCTGAACGAAACGAGCTGAGGGGCAGGCTGCAAGGAGCAGCCCGCGGGGTCGAAGCGGGCGAAAGGGACAATGGGGGCTTGCGCTTCCACGTCGGAGTTCCATGAACAGGACGCGGCGGCGCGGCATCGCGACACGGGCGGCGGCGAGACGTCAACGTCGCCCTTTGAATCAGTGCCGCCCATATTGAAGGACCGCTCCGCCCTTGGCGATTCTGAGGACAGTAGCAGGGTCGGTAGTTTGACAATGACCCGGCTGCGCTCCACAACACGTGCGGCGCTGCACCTGGAGTTTTTGACAGAGGTGCGTGCCCCGCAGGGCGGGGCTCTGTGTGCACTCACAGCACGCAGCCGCTGCGACAAGACGCTGGGTGCGTGAGCACGTGCACGGGATGCATTGAGGCAAATGGGCGGTCCAACAGTGTTTTCAACATGGCATAGCTCGCCAAACACGAACTACCAGGCAGCCGCGCGCCAGCATGCGCAGTCGACCCGCAGCAGCCTGTTATGCGCATGCCAGCCGCACCACTCGTCCGCCGCTTCTTGCAGTGCCCCTTACTGCCCCGATCGGCCGGCTTGCAAGCCCTTCGACTCCTTTCTGTTGTGCACTCAACAGGTCCACAGCCTGCAGCAGCAGCTGGCGGTTGTGAATGACTACCCTTTGCTTGGGCTGCAGGAAGCGGCCGAGCTTCTCGCCACCCAACTCGGAGCCGACCTTGTCGCGTGAGCCTGCAGGCGCCAAGGAGGGGGACAGGGCGCGGCCGCAGGAGGGCGCACCTGCCCGTCATGCTAGTCATGAATTTGCAGCGCTGTGCATCAGCTGGATGGGCTCTTGTGATGTGCGTGACCGAATCCACCCAATCCTTGCGCTTCCCATGCTCATCCGCATGCGGCTCGCGCAGCATCTGGGTGTTGGCGAAGGACGACCCCGGCTGCTCGGTGCTCATGGCCACGCACGGGCGGGGCGCGGCGGTGCTGGAGCGGCGCATCGTCACGCACGCGCCGCAGGGCGCGCGGCAGCTGGGGGCGTCGTGCGAGCTGTCCATACCGGACGCCACCCTGGACCAGTCGGTGAGGCCGGGCTGCGTGCCTTGGGCGGCTGGAGCGCCCCACGAGGCAGGGCTCCCAAGTGCATCTGACGCAGGAAAAGCACGCGTGGCGACCGCCGCCCCGCAGCATGTTGCGCGGGCGGCAGGCCCTGTCTGACGTGCAACTTGAAATGGCGGCGCCCGCATCCCGACTTTTGGCCCCGCAGGGCGCAATTCTGGAGCCTGTGGAGCTTTGGCAGGGCGCTCCGGCGCTGAGCAGCTTCGTCCAGGTGCCGATCGGCACCACGGCGGCGCCGCTGGGCGTGCTGCTGCTGGCCAAGCAGGAGGCGGGGTCGTTCGACAGCCACTGGTGCGGCGGCGCCGCGGCGCGCCGCGCTGGGGCCACGTGGGCAAGCTCAGCCGTGGGCTTTGCGGGGTATTGGGAGCTGCTGGTGCTGCGCTTGGCGGCTGCGCTGCTGGGAGCCGAAAGCTTTGCTAGTTTGGCCGGGCGGCAGGGCGCCAGGATGACTGGGTAGTGCAGTCGCGCCGCCCCGGCCGCCGCCGGCGCGGCTGTGCATCTGTGGCAGCTTCTCTTCAGCCCCTGGTGTACTGACGACCCGTAGGGCGCCAGGCAGCGAGGCGCTGACCCGAGCCCGCACGCCGCCGGCGCCGCGCGCCGCCTCGCAGGTGGCAGGTGCGGCTGCAGCTGGCGTCCACGGGGCTGCTGCCGCACGTGCGGCACGCGCAGGTCGACTGGATGGCGCAGCTGCTGAAGGCCATGGATGCGGTGGAGGACCCGGTGGCGCTCATAGCCATCCTGCTGAGGGTGAAGGGGGGCAGCAGGGGCGGGGTGCGTCAGGGTACGCTGTGCTGAGGATGCGACGTGCCTTGGCGCGTCTGCGCCAGCAAGCACGCGCGCGCGCTTTTGAGCATGTCGGCACTCACGTCCACATACACGCGCACACACACACACACACACACACACATCACTCGGCGCGCGTGTTTGTGCGCACTTGACTTTGGGTGTACGCGGTGATTTTCAAGCGGGTTGCCTTGCTTGTTTGGAGATGCACGCACGGTTGGGGCCCAGGGCTGGTGCTGTGTAAGTGTTGCGCGCATGGCTGACGGGCGCGCGGCTGCACATGGCTTACGGCAGCGTCGGCAAGCGCTGCTCTCATTTTCCTTACCGCTCGCAAGCACGTGTGACATCATTTGTGGCTGCAGGAGCAACGAACGGGCAGTGAACCCTGTCGCAGCTGCTGCTGCGACCGTCTCAATCGGCCTGCACGACAATCAACCTTGGCTCACTCACACCGCCCACACCCACACCCAGCCCCAATCTGCCACCCGTGCCCCTCCTTGTCCCAACAGAGCGCGAGCCGTCACATGCTCAAGGCCTGCAACCTGCGCACCACCGCGCGCCTCGCGCTGCTCAACCACGCGCGGCCCGGCAAGGCGCTGCTCTTCGAGGCCCCGAACGACGCCGCGACGGCGCCGCCGCCAGGCGGGAGCTCCCACGACAACCGCCTCGCGCTGCCCGGCGACGCGACCGCCGACGTGGTGGCGAGCCGCATGGAGCTGCCCAACACGCTGCTGGCGTCGGCGGTGGGGGCGCAGCAGGCGCGGTTCGTGGCCGACATTGGAAAATACATGTCGGTGAGTCTGGGGGCCCTGTTTGTGGGCGGGCGAGCGGGGATGTTTCTCCTTGTGGGTGTGCATGTGCATATCTGTGTGCGCGCGCGCACGCGTGTGTGTGTGGTGGGAGGATATTGGCAGGGCGCGGAGCTCATCCAGGGTTGGTCGGGGCTGTTGACAATCGGGCTTGCACACGCGAATGCACAAACTCCAACACGGGCCCATGTGTGCACACACACACACACACACACACACACACACACACACACACACACACACACACACACACACACACACACACACACACAC